TTTAAACATGGTTTATAAATGGCAATTGTTTTCATTGATACTATCTTTATAGCCAAGTGTTTACTATCTTGTTAAGCATGGCCACCAATCTTATATTTAACATACACACATCTCTGGTACTTACCAGCAGCAGGAATAGTTCCTTTCTAGCATGTCACTTGAACCATACTAAAAGAATAGGATGGCAAATGTAATTCTCATCCTTTCTCCCTTTCTGGAGCAGTGCTATCCAGCATGTATTCCACATACCAGTTCCAAAACTGTTACCAGTCCCTTATGAGATAAGTATAATAAGTATATAAATCATGAAAGTATATAGTTATACTGATCAAGTATACAAATGGTAAGTATTTAGAAATTTTTAGAGCATTTCACATTGCTGGTTTATCCAAGTGCATAATTTTCTATTTTACAAAAGTCCATGGCCGATTGGAAATTTAAAAAAAAAAAAAAGTTCCTTCACCACAAAGAGTTGAGAAGCACTGCTTTAGAGTGTCTCAATAATGCTTTTGGTCAGGTGGCATAGTTTCCCTTCTTGTATTACCTTTGTCTTCCTCAGAGCTGGCCTTAAAGCCAAGGGACCTGGCTGCCTTCCAGGCAGTCATTTCCGCATAGTTTAATAGCTATAGCCAGTGAACTGAAAGTGCATTTCCTGCCACCATACTGTACAATTATTACTAATGTAATAGGAGAATGCACTTCTGGTTTTGGCACTGATATTTGGGATACTGCATCAGGGCTGGTAGCTTAAAAGAGTGGGCAATATTTTGGAGTATGTATTAATGGAGATAGAACCACTAGGAATACTTCCTGTTAAAATATGCTATATTTGATCCATTTAGAGATAATTTAATAAGATGATACTTTAAATGAAAATAGGAAAATCTCTTCTTATGTGGGGCCATGAACCTTTGCTCAAGGAAGTTTTAAGGAGGTGGGTCTTAGTTCATTTTAAGAAATACGTTTCTAACTACTGATGGAATAGTTTTATTAGGTAAATGCTCAAAGACTGATTTACAAACTATCATTGGTTCTCTAATAATGAATCCTGCAGTTAGTTGAAAATTAGATTAAGCTCTAGGGTCCCTTCCAAAGCAGAATTATATAATTAGGTGCTGAAGTAGATTTAGGCATCAAAGGAAGGAAAATTAACTTTGAATCAGGAGTCATTAAGTGTGACGTCCTGTGATTCTCCTTTAATTTAGAGAAAAATTCTGCAATACTTCAGGAAGGATGTAATACTGAGGTCATTTGAAGGCTGAAAGTTTACTTGGAGTTGTACGTGGTCCCAGATCCACAGTTTGGAGCCAAGAGGAGACAATAAAAGATTTAAAGAAAGTCCTTCCAGAATGTGCAGTTATTAATGTCCGAGAACTTACAACTTAACGACTCAAACACAACCAAGATAAAGGAAAGAGTGAAAAGGAACTGGTCACTATTGAAACAATCTTAAGACTTGACATAAACAAAATGTTTTCTCCCCTTTACATTCATAAATAGAGGGTTAACAGCTATTTAGGTTACTGTTGAAGATTTAAATCTTGGAGAATAGAAAATTTAATTGAGGGCAAGATGATTTTCTAATTGTTTACAAGGTCTTTTTATTGCCTTTTGTTCATTAAAATGAAAAAATTGTATTAACAATATTAGAAAGCTAATATGTTGCTAATGAGGTTCTCCTCTACTGGAATAATTTCTAAAAATCAAATAAATAGGAAAAAATTAATGTTAAATTCGCTACAGTATCTGAATCAATTTATTTCTGCAAATTATTTCTGACCAAATGTCTCAGAAACAAATCAATGTAAAAGATTATTAATAATTACTTGCTTACAGGTATAAAAGAAAGTAACATGAAACTTTTTAAAGAAAAGAGAAGAATTTTCTTATGAGCCAATTCATACTGCTGCAAATATCTTGGATCCAAGACCAAAAGGTAGAAATGTAAATAATGATAGCACTGCTGCTGCTGCCCTAGATTGAATTACAAAACAAGCAGCACATTTAGAAATTTATGCTGGAAAAATCCTTTCAAATGTGTCTGAATACAGAGCAGTTACAGTGTTTGTGCAGTCATGCAGTTTGGACTTGTGCCAAGTGTAACGCTCTTATTCCTGGTCCCACCCTTCTGATGAGGAATCTGAAGGCCAGGTTACAATTCAAGGTCTCTATGGCTAGCTCAAGCTCCTACCCAGTGTTTCTGAGCTTTTATCCCTACTAAGTTTGCTCATGAAAATAACAATATTAATAACTAATGTATATTTGGTGCTTACTATATGCTAAGCATTATGCAAGGTAAATTATATATTTTATTTTAAGTTTCACAATAAACCTATGAGGTAAATACGTTTATGTTCAGATGGGGAATTTGATTCTGTATGAGGTTAAAGAAATTGCTCTAGGTCACATCATTATATCTGTTCCATTATAAATCTGTTGAGAAATCAGTAGTTTTTCTGCATGTCAAAGATGATTTTTGTTTGGAAGACAAGGCCAGGTATCTTAGAACAATAAGGTCTCCCAAGCCTCAATATCTAGCTGCTGCCCTCACAGGTGACTTCCCTCAACACAAGATTTTGTCTCTTATTCTTGCTAGTTGCTTTCAGCCACACCTCTAAGAAGTTGTCAGTAGCTCTCAATAGCTGCTCTTCATGATGATCCTTGTATCAGTCCCAGCCTTATGGGCTCCTCAATAGTGATATAACTTAATATTACAACAGGGTCTCTGATGCACCCTTAAATGACAGAAACAATTAAGAAATAAATCAAAGATCTTTACCCCTGCTTCAAGGAAAGAGTCTATGGAACATCAACTAGCTGACCCCCTCTAGTTGCCTATTTTTAATTTAAACAAAATTTGGGGAATGAAAGTTGGTCTGGGATAAGTTTCTCAAACTTGAAGAAAGATGGTTTTCTCTAGAGCAATTCCTTGCATAGGAGCTCTATTCTCCCTAAGGAACATTTGAATGGTGGGAAAATGAGACTAGGAACTGAAAGATGCTTCTATGTTCCTTAGACATGAGTTCAGATATTATTGGAAGTTAGTAAAGAGGCTTTGCACTCTGTAGCTTAACATCCTATTCTTCCTCAATTCTAAGTATTCCTAAAATACAATTTGAATCAGACACACACCAGAAAGAGCCCCTGAAGCCCAATCCAATGAACTGGGGGAGCATGAAAAATCTAAGCATTACCTGGAAAATCTGCTACAAAACAATACACAGGTAAAGTGGCCCCAGGCCAAACAAAGGAGTTTGCTAAGAGTGGTGCAGCAGGTTTCTGTTGAAGAGTTTGTTTCCTTCCAGTAATGCTCTACATAATGTGAGCAATGGTTGTGTGAGGCTGTGGTTCTGTCTCTCTGACTTTAGTGTCCTGGGTCTGCATTCATGTTGTATTTTTTTCCTTCTGTTTTTGTGACTAATTTTCTCTGTGGGACTAGTATTTTTCTGTACAGCATGACACTGAAAGAAACACTTTAAACTGCGTTTGCCAGGAAAAGTCACTTCCCATTTGGAATCCTAAGTGAAACCGACACCACACTTTAAGATTCTAGGATTGTTGCAGGGAAATGTCACCCAATAGCTCCAGGAAGCAGGAGCCCTATTGTTGCTGTTTAACCACTTCTTTCCCATTTTGGTGGCAAGTTGCCTCCTTACACACAAACTGCCTCAGAAGATCCTGAGGAGATCACGGTGTCTGTCTGTCCTTGCAAGAGCATGCATTATGGTAGGACATTGCCTTCATTCTGTTCCTTTTTCTCCAAGACTCTTGCTTATTCTCACCATTTGGCTCGACTTCCTACTGTAGGATTACCTCAGAATCCACACAAAACCCACAGGGTTTTAGAACTGCCTTGAATTACATGTTTTCCCAAACATCCACCCAGTTCATAGGTGGCCTCACCTCTGAAGTCTCAGAGTTGCAAGATGCCTTGAGTCTTAGACTGTCTTCCGTCTTCTTTCTCCCTTCTGCACCCCCTCTGGCCAAAGTTGCCCAGCCACACTAAATTGCATTCCTTGCAGTGTTGCATGCTTCCTTTGGGCAGCCTGACTTTTATGAATAGATGAGGATAAAACTGGGATATGAAAATACATTTATCTCTTTTTTTTTCATATAAAAGCAGGAGTTGGTAATGTTTTATTCTTAAAGACTTCATGTTTGGAACTTAAAATAAGCAGTATATTCATTAAATATATTAAATTCATTAAATATACAGGTAGTCTTTAAATTTTTTGTCTACAAAATGTTATTAAAGAAATATTCTAACAATCTTAAAATAACTTTGGGAGGCACGGGGAAGGACAAAGGGCCTGAATTTTTATGTCGCAGTCTCTGATCAGTGCTTTTAGTCCAATCCAGTCAAGTAAGTAAAGGTTCATAGAAAAAATTGTTTTATAAAATCATAGTGATGAAAAAAACATTCTAGCCTAGGATCATGTCATCCAAGAAAAATACAGAGAAAACAGCTTGTAAAAAAGAAGGTAATATAATCAAATTATACTCCTCATAAAACTCTACACTTAATAACAGGAATACATAATATACATAATATAAAAATAATTCTTACCATTTATTCCACACCTATCATTCCCCAGGCACTGTACACTGTACAATCAGCCTAGGATCATCTCATCCAAGAAAAATACTGAGAAAACAGCTTGTAAAAATTTATTTATTTATTTTTGAGACGGAGTCTCACTCTTTCGCCCAGGCTAGATTGCAATGGCACGATCTCGGCTCACTGCAACCTCTGCTTCCCGGGTTCAAGCCATTCTCCTGCCTCAGCCTCCCAAGTAACTAGGACCACAGCCATGTGCCACCACACCTGGCTAATTTTTGTATTTTTAGTAGAGATGGGGTTTCACCATGTTGGCCAGGCTGGTCTCAAACTCCTGACCTCATGATCTGCCCGCCTTGGCCTCTGAAAGTGCTAGGATTACAGGCGTGAGCCACTGTGCCCAGCCTACAATCATGATTTCTAATTCTTAGCTACTTTTTTAAGTTTCGTGTCTTTTTAAAGAGAAGAAAGTGAACTTTATTAAAGCTGAATGACTCACTCAAGGCCATATAGCTGGTAGATGGCAGAAGTGGGGTTTGAATCTGTTTTTCTTCCATACCACACACCAATTACTGTATAGAAAAATAGCTGAATTGCTCTTATTATTTTAGACAAATTTCATTTTTAAAACCCCACATGTGGTTTATTATTCTGTTATGGAAATGACTAACTTGCATATTAATAAAAAAGACAATCCCTGTGTTCTTATCATGAGTTTAGAAAAAAAAGTGTTATCACAGATAACAATAAGCTATTCTTGTTCCTAGTTCCAGTGATTTTGAACCTATTTCTCAGAACAAGAAGCCCTCTGATTCAAATATGAAACAGAGTATTCTATTTCATCACAAACACAAAGATCTGAAACCCCATTTTTGAGCCATCTCTGTATACAATAAGAATCCAGCCTGCATTTGTCAATGATAGAGAGTACAGTAAATAAGAAGTCCCTGAAGAGGTCAGAGTGTTGACAAAATTCAACATGATGGTGGAGTCCACACAAACACAGGAAACAAAGCTGGCCCTTACATACAGCCGCCTGTCCTTGCAATGACTTCGTTTTAAGTCAACGTCTCTTCATGCCGCACATATTCCCCAAAGTCTGCCTGATGAAATACCACAATCTGCAGTCTTGTGTAGATTTTGCTGCCACCCCAAAATGCAAAGGGATGTCTGCCATGGAGTACACCACCACGCTCTGGTACTGAGAAGTATTTTCAGTGGTTCGACCCAGACCACATTTCAACACATGGTTCCCACACAGGAACGACTGCTCTGCACCAGGCTTTATCCACACTTTATACTTGGCATAAGGTGCAAGGTAATCCAGGGCTGTGACGTGCAACCAAAACTTGTGGGTCTTAGTGACTTTTCCAAAGCAGGACCCCAGCGACACCAGCTTGTCCCCAGAGATATTAGCGGCCAACTTCATAATCTTTTCACTCACATAGTACACCCGGTCGTTGTGCAGATGGAAACAGTAGGTGCCATCGGGCTGGTCCACCAGCAGCTGAAGATTCTCCCCGATGTATTTCGCGATCTTCTCAAACATGACACGGGTCTCTTCTTCAGTCAAAGGCCGCATTTTCTCCCTGGGTTGGAACAACGGATCCTCCTATCTCTTAATATAATATAAATATATAAATGGAATTATTTAAAATTGTCCGTTTATGTCTAGCTTCTTAGCATAATGTTTTCAAGGTTCATTCATGTTGATGTATCATGATTTTATTCCTTTTTTATTTTTCAAGTTATCAACACTTATTTACATACTTGATAAATTTGTTGGAATTTTTAATTGTTTTATGTTCCAGGAGGAGTATATTTGCCTCATTTCAGGAACTATGTGTACATTCGTTTTTTGAGGATTATTTGGTGTTTAAAATTTACCCCCCAAAATATACTGAATTGCACAAAAAGAAAAGTTCTTGATAACTTTCTGGTTTGCTCAAAGACTCTCAGGTCTTTACATTTCTAAGGCATTTTTATACGTAGATTTTACCCTCACAGTGTTACTAAGAAAGCAGGTGCTGCCATCCCTATTTCAAACATAAAGAAACTGTGACCCAGGAAGAACAAGTAACATGCCCAGGTTGTCCACGTATCTCCATGCTTTATCTGGTATTAAGTCCAGGGGCCCTTATTCAGCATCATTTATACCTCTAGTCTAACAGAAGCTCTTGGAGGAGGGACACTTGGCATGACCATGTGCACATCCCCAGAACTAATTCAGAGTACTGCCATGGGGAGCCAATTCCCCTAGATCTGTGACACACTGGTTAGGCTTGCTGTGTCTCAGGACATGTCTGTGATTTTATTAAGGATTTTTGCATCGAGGTTCATCAGGGATATTGGCCTGAAGTTTTCTTTTTTTGTTGTATCTCTGCCAGGTTTTGGTTATCAGCATGATACTGGCCTCATAAAATGAGTTGGGGAGGAGTCCCTCCTTTTCAATTGTTTGGAATAGTTTCAGAAGAAAATGGTACCAGCTCCTCTTTGTACCTCTGGTAGAATTCAGCTGTAAATCCAACTGGTCCAGGGCTTTTTTTCATTGGCAGGCTATTTAATGCTGCCTCAATTTCAGAACTTGTTATTGGTCTAATCAGGGATTCAGCTTCTTCCTGGTTTAGACTTGGGAGGGTGTATGTGTCCAGGGATTTATCCATTTCTTCTAGGTTTTCTAGTTTATTTACACAGAGGTGTTCATAGCATTCTCCAATGGTTGTTTGTATTTCTGTGGGGTCAGCGGTGATATCCCCCTTACCATTTCTGATTGTGTCTATTTGATTCTTCTCTCTTTTCTTCTTTATTAGTCTAGCTAGCAGTCTATTTTATTAATTTTTTCAAAAAAACAGCTCCTGGTTTTGTTGATTTTTGGAGGGTTTTTGTGTCTGTATCTCCTTCAATTCTGCTCTGATGTTGGTTATTTCTTGTCTTCTGCTAGCTTTGGGGTTCTTTTAATTCTTTTAGTTGTGATGTTAGCTTGCTGATTTGAGATCTTTCTAGCTTTTTGATGTGGGCATTTAATGCTATGAATATCCCTCTTAACACTGCTTTAGCTGTGTCCCAGGGATTCTGGCACATTGCCTCTTTGTTCTCATTAGTTTCGAAGAACATCTTGATTTCCACCTTAATTTCATTATTTACTCAGGAGTCATTCAGGAGCAGGTTGTTCAATTTCCATGTGGATGTGTGATTTTGAGTGAGTTTCTTAATCTTGAGGTCCAATTTGATTGTGCTGTGGTCTGAGAGACTGTTATGATTTCAGCTCTTGTGCATTTGCTGAGGAGTGTTTTACTTACAATTATGTGATCAATTTTAGAGTAAGTGCCACATGGCATTGAAAGGAATGCATATTCTATTGTTTTTGGGTGGAGAGTTCAGTAGATATCTATCAGGTCTGCTTGATTCAGAGCAGGGTTCAGGTCCTGTATATCTTTCTTAATTTTCCATTTTAATGATCTGTCTAATATTGACAGTGGAGTGATAAAGTCTCCTAGTATTATTGTGTGGGAGTCTTAGTCTCTTTATAGGTCTCTAAGAACTTGCTTTATGAATCTGGGTGCTTCTGTATTGGGCGCATATATATTTAGGATAGTTAGCTCTTCTTGTTGAATTGAACTCTACCATTATGCAATGCCCTTTTTTGTCTTTTTTGATCTTTGTTGATCTAAAATCTGTTTTGTCAGACACCATAATTGTGACCCCTGCTTTTTTCTGCTTTCCATTTGCTTGGTAAATTTTCCTCCATCCCTTTATTTTGTGCCTACATGTGTCTTTGCACATGAGATGGGTCTCTTGAAGATAGCATACTGATGGGTCTTCACTCTTTATCCAGCTTGCCATTTGATGTCTTTTAATTGGGGCATTTAGCTAATTTACATTTAAGGTTAATATTGTTATGTGTAAATTTGATCCTGTCATCATGATGCTAGCTGGTTATTTTGCAGACTTGTTGATGTGGTTACTTCATAGTGTCACTGGTCTCTGTACTTCAGTGTGTCTTAGTAGTGGCTGGCAAAGATTTTTCCTTTCAATATTTAGTGCTTCCTTCAGGAGCTCTTGCAAGGGAGGCCTGGTGGTGATAGATTCCCTCAGCATTTGTTTTTCTGAAAAGGATCTTATTTCTCTTTTGCTTATGAAGCTCAGTTTGGCCAGATGTTCTGGGTTGGAAACTCTTTTTTAAGAATGTTGAATACTGGCTCCCAATCTCTTCTGGCTTGTAGGGTTTCTGCTGAGAGGCCTGCTGTTAGTCTGATGAGCTTCCCTTTGTAGGTGACCTGGCCTTTCTCTCTGGCTGTCCTTTACATTTTTTCTCTCATTTCGACCTTGGAGAATCTGACAATTATATGTCTTGGGGTTGATCTTCTCATGGAGCATCTTACCAGGGTTCTCTGGATTTCCTGAATTTGAATGTTGGCCTGTCTTGCTAAGTTGGGGAATTTCTTCTGGATGATATCGTGAAGTATGTTTTCCAACTTGTTTCTGTTCTCCCCATATCTTTCAGGTACCCCAATCAGTCGTAGGTTCAGTCTTTTTACATAATCCCATAGTTATTGGAGGTTTTGTTTGTTCCCTTTCATTCCTTTTTCTCTTTTCTTGTCCACCTGTCTTGTTTCAGAAAAATAGCCTTCAAGCTCTGAGAGTCTTTCCTTTACTTGGTCTATTCTTCTATTCTGCCATTGATACTTGTGATTGCTTTGTGAAGTTCTCCTGCTGTGGTTTTTGGCTCCATTGGGTCATTTATGTTCCTCTCTTAACTGGCTATTCTGGTTATCAGTTCCTGTATCATTTTTTTCATGATTCTTAGCTTTTTTTGCACTGGGTTAAAACACGTTCCTTTAGCTTAGCAAAGTTCATTATTATCAGGGGAACCTGCCCCCAATATTTCAACGTAGGTTCTTTCTATTTTCCATAAGTGTTGGCCAGCTGAGAAATAAAAAGAAAGAGTACAAAGAGAAGAATTTTACAGCTGGGCCTCCGGGAGTGACATCACATATTGGTAGGACTGTGATACCCACCTGAGCCGCAAAACCAGCAGATTTTTATTAAGGGTTTCAAAAGGGGAGGGGGTGTGTGAATGGTGAGTAGGTCACAAAGATCATATGATTCAAAGGGCAAAAAAGAGAACAAAGATCACATCCTTCCAAGGAAACAGGACAAAAGGCAAAACAGAACTACTGATAAGGGTCTATGTTCAGCTGTGCATGTATTGTCTTGATAAATATCTTAAACAACAGAAAACAGGGTTCAAGAGGAGAGAACCGGTCTGACCTCAAATTTACCAGGGTGGGGTTTTTCCCCACCCTAGTAAGCCTGAGGGTACTGCAGGAGACCAGGGCGTATTTCAGTCCTTATCTCAACCACAGAAGACAGACACTCCCAGAGTGGCTGTTTATAGACCTCCCCCGCAGGAATGCATTCCTTTCCGAGGGTCTTAATTATTAATATTGCTTGCTAGGAAAAGAATTTAGTGATATCTTCCCTACTTGCACGTCCATTTATAGGCTCTCTGCAAGAAGAAAAATATGGCTCTATTCTGCCCAGCCCCGCAGGCAGTCAGACCTTATGGTTGTCTTCCCTTGTTCCCTAAAATCGCTGTTATTCTGTTCTTTTTCAAGGTGCACTGATTTCATATTGTTAAAACACACGTTTTACAATCAATTAATACAGTTAACACAATAGTGGTCCTGAGGTGATGTACATCCTCAGCCTATGAAGATAACAAGATTAAGAGATTAAAGTAAAACAGGTGTAAGAAATTATAAAAGTATTAATTTTGGGAACTGATATATGTCCATATTAAAATGAAATCTTTGTAATTTATGTTCCTCTGCTGTGGCTCCAGCCGGTCCCTCCATTCGGGGTCCCTGACTTCCTGCAACACATTATTACTCACCTTATGAAGCCCACTTCTGTCAATCTAGCCATCTCAGCCTTGGCCCAGTTCTGTGCCCTTGATGGAAAGGTGCTGTGGTCATTTGGAGGAGAAGAGACACTGTGGCATTTTGAGTTTTCAGTGTTTTTGCACTGATTCTTTCTCATCTTTGTGGGTTCATCTTTGATCTTTGAGGTTGCTAACCTTTGAATACGGGTTTTTGTGGGGTCTTTTTTTGTTGTTGTTGCTGTTGCTTCCTGTTTGTTTGTTTATCTTTTAACAGTCAGGCCACTCTTCCACAGACTGCTGCAGTTTGCTGGGGGTCCACTCCAGACCCTAGTCACCTTGGTCCCTCCTTCACCTGGATATATCACCAGTGAAGGCTGCAAAACAGAAAAGATGGCAGCTGGCTCCTTCTTCTGAAAGCTCCGTCCCAGTGGTCACCAATCTGATGCTGGTCTGAACACTCCTCTAGGAGGTGTCTGGAGACCCCTGTTGGGAGGTCTCACCCAGTCAGGAGGAATGGGATCAGGGGCCAACTTAAAGAAGCAGTCTGGCTGCCCTTTGACTGAGCAAATGTGCTGCACTAGGGGGAACCCCACCACCTTGTCCAAACCACCCAGACTCTCCAGAGCCAGCAGGCTGGAAATGCTGTCAGCTGAACTGCAGAGACAGTGGTTGCCCCTCCCCCTGGGGGCTCCATCTCAGGGAGATCAGAGTTATGTCCATATAACCCT